GTTGTTGCATTTTTTGGGTTTAGGGACACCAAATTTTTGCTCATTTCGCTTTGAAAGGCGTGTTTTCTTGGGTGGGTATGACATAAATAGAATACAACACTGTGTACTCCGCATCACCCTTGGTCCCAGCCCTCCCGCGGATCCGATGCGCGGTCAGGCTGGTGCCTCGGGCGATACAGAATACCCCGTGTTGTATTATTAATTTATATATGTATTACCTGGACTCCCACTGGTAGAGCAGCACCTCCGAAGAGCAGGCCCAGGGTGTGGATAGACACAATAAACACTGCTGTACCAGTCAGGGCCAGCAGTAACAACATGACCAGAGGATAGCCCAGGTTCCTCTGCCAGGCTGATGCCTTCTGTCTTCTCTCTGTGTAAGAAACCACCAAGTTTGGTCGAATAGGCAGGCCTAGGTGTGCATGACTACATATTTGTCTTAAGGCCACACCAATTTAATTTGTTGGTTCTCGGATTTTTTCATGAAAAATGTGAAGCGACAGGGCGAAAAAAAAAAAAAAATGCCCAAATGGTAAAGCTAAGGCTGGAAAAAGGGATTGAGAACAAAGCTATGACTATACATGCTAAAACATTGCTGTTTTATAGCCTATGTATCAAGGATCAATTATTGATGTTAATGATCTGCCGAATAAACATACCCCCCGGAATAAACGTACCCCCCGGACAAATTTTCAAAATCCAATAAAAATACCCCCCGGAATAAATTTACCCCCCGGAAAATTACCAAAATTGATGGGTAACCTGTGTCTCTTATGTTAAAATGTGCTCTTACTGGTATACTAGAAACTGTTATGCACAAATCTTTAACTGTTATTTGCAATTAGGAATTTAAATAGACAACAAAGAGAGCATTTCTAGTACAAATGTAGACATGTCATGTTGTTGGGAAATACATACAGTCAAACCTGTAATAACGACCACCCCTGTATAGAGACCACTCGTCCATTACGACCACTTTTTGTTGGCTTGACCCTTGAATTTTTCCCATCGACTCAAGCGTTAAGAAATCTTGCATTGCGTCTACCTGTCTAACGCGTCCAGCGTCCACATGTTTTCGGTCCCGAGACGGCCAAAATGCCAATCCCACCGTCTGAGTCCAGCTGTGAGTACGTTGCCAAATGTTGGCCAAGAAAATCCAACGGGTACCGGGTAATAAAGAATATGGGCATGATGTGGCAGCATTTTTTTTTGCTAGCGTTCGTATCATAAAAGTAAACAAAATTTCGAAGTGCCGATTACTCAAAAATGGCCCCTAAAAATCCCAGCGAACCATCCCAGCATGTCGTAACTTGGCGTCGATTACGACAACTTTTCTTTTGGGAAAAATCCACTAAAATTAGAAAATAATGCTTCTCTAGCGACCAGATAGGGCTCCAGATATTTTCTGGGCGATATTAGCCGGGATTTTGTCGTAAAAATGAGCCAAAACTGGTGGTAGAAGAAAGCCGAGAAATATCCAACATGGCGTCGCTGCTTGAGAGATCATTTGGGGTTAACGGAAGGTCTCATTTTTTACGGGGAAGGCTGTGTAATATTTTACCCGATTTCTTGATTTTATTGCGGTAAATCGACATCGACAAATACAATATGGTAGCTAAAAATCTTAAATATTAAATGACTTGCTTAGTTTGTTAGAATTTATTCTAATTTAGAGCTTTGAGGAGTTCGTCTTTTGATGAGCACCAATCGCGATCGCGAAAAGCGGCCGGAAAATGACAAGTTTCTTGCTACAATACGCGTTTATAAACGTCTTCACGTCGAAGATTTGTCGATTTTTTTCACGCGTAGTCGAAAAAAATTACTGATTTTCGAAAAATTAATAAACGTACCGTGCAAAATAAGAACGTACCGGGTGGACGTTCGGGCCCAAAAAAATTGGCAGATGAGATGAGAGTAACAAGAATTAATTTTTTTTTTTTCATTTTGCGATTTTTTGAAGCGGCGATTCCGAGAACCAACAAATTAAATTGGTGTGGCCTAAGATATAAATGATTATCATATACATTCCAAAAGAAGTTCTTACATCACCAAATGTGAGTCTGTACAATACAAACTTAAAAGGGCGCACACCCCAGTTTATTTCGTGTTTCTAGTTGAAGCTGAGTTTGGTTTTTTCCACCTCTTTAATTTTCGTAAAATTAACAGAAAAAACATTATTTTCACAAAATTAATCCACAAAATTTTGAATTTTCGCATAGGATAATCTCATACAAAAAGAATTTTCCGGCAGAGATGACTGATACTGGCAAAAAGACACAAGCCTTGTCTATACCAGAGCCAATTATAAAGAAAATCCTAGACATTACAATGTGTACATCTTGGTCCAGAGAGCTAAGGTTGCTATACACTAGACTCTGCATGCTGCACATAAAGACTTATTAAGCTAAGTTTAACGTACCAAGTTTCTTCCTCTCTGTCTGCACCTCCAGAAGACGTTTTCTCAGGTCCTGTTTGTCTGGGAGACTGATGGGACTCAGCTTGTCTGTGGAGACAAACAAAATCACTTCAAACTTCTGCATTCTTTTATTAGCCAACACCATTTCAATTTGTTGGTTCTCAGATTTTTTCATTAAAAATTTGAAGTGACAGGGCAAAAAATAAAAACTAAAAACAGATCTAGGCATCCTGTTATAGCCCAAAATGCTACGATAGGAGCCATGAAGTCAACACAAAAGGCTGGCTTAATATTTAAACAATGAATTTTGAACTTTTAATCAAACCACTGCATTGATAGATAGAAAAACTAGGAAGAAAAGGACTTTCCTCCACTGTTGGGGCAAAATTGTTGGTTCTCGGATTCGCCTCTTCTTTTTTTTCCGATTTGCAAAAAAAAAAAAATTGGCTCTGAATTAACCTAAAAAATGCTTGTATTTTGCCCCCAACAGTGGAGGAAAGTCCATTTCTTCCTAGTTTTTCTTATGTAACTGACAGCATCACTATAACACACTAGAACACAGGCGAGAGTTAATTCATGTAATACTATGTTCCTACCTTTAAGTTTCCTTAGTAGATTGTCTTCCTCAAACTTTGCTGAGTAGATGTCTTCTTCTATGTTGGTCATGAACTGGAAATGAGGCAAATATTCATACAAATATCTGGATTAATTTCATAGTCTTAGAATCAGTGTTCTAACCATACCACCAAAAAGTGGGCATGCATTAAAATTAAAATAGTACATACTGGCTAGACTAATTTAATAGGCCCGATAAAGTTAGGATTGTTACCCTGGTAATTAATAACCGTTTTTTTAATTTCCTTTCTTAATATTTTAAGAAATAACCATTCCGATCATGCCTTACTATAGTATGAAATTGTATGGCAAGTACATCAATGATTATTTACATGACATACAATATATGTATGATAAAGTCCATCTGGTATGAAATAATATATAATTAAGTAAAACATGTTACTTCTCAGGTCATGCAATGAACATGCACAGTGGTTTACTATAGTATCATCTACTTTTGAGTTAATAATATGTCAAATATAAAAAACTTCAAGGTTCTTTTTTATCCTTTGAGGGAAAAAATCAGGATTATGACAGAATTTGCACCAAATGTTATAACTGCAATGGTCTGGCAAAACGTACTAAGTGTCATTCATAAAGTTTTATATTAGCAGAACCAAGAAATTTGACTGAACATGGGGTTTATGCAATGGGGTGAGGTTACTAATTGCTGAGGATGAAAGACTGTTAGAAAACACCTGAGTGTACCAAAATGTAGATCCAAGGGTACATGCATGGTTCAAGCTTTCAATTATATGTTAATACTGCAGGGCTCGAAATACTGGGTGCAAGACTGCATGTGCACCTTAGTGCACCCAAATTTGCTGTGCACCCATTTTTTTTCTAGATCTGCTGGTGCACCCAAATATTTTTGTAGGTTTACGTCTATGTAAAGATGTCAACTGTATAGTTTCTTATACTGTAGTAACAGCATATTGTTAACAGTAAGTGGGAGAAAATAATAAAATCATTCTTATAGCTGTACTTTTCTTTAGAAATGAAACATAATTGCTGACTTTCTTCTTTTTTTTATCTTATATGGTGCACCAAAAAACCTGTGCACCTATTCCAAAAAATGAATTTTGAGCCCTGTACTAGACTGTGTAATTACAACATGGAAACATACATGTACACATGGGACCTACATGACCATGAAGGTTAGCCCTATTATAGATGGTAGGCTACTCTACTAAGACCACAGTAAGTAATTTTTATGGATGACATCAGCGCGCGCATTAATTTTCGCCCGATTTTGGGGAAAAAAACAAGAAATTTTCTTGCCTTCTGACAGTGGTCAACATGCCGAAAACGGGCAAAGATGTCTGTTGCCATGTCGGAAGAGAGGAGACAACAAAAGGCTCTGATAATGTTTTGTTTCTTTAAAACTTTGATGCAGTGATACATGTATGTGATACTGGCTGTGTATATGTGATGTTCCCACTGAATCAAAACCATTTGTACAATTGAGTCAAAATTATGAGGAATGTAGGAACCTTGTTTTTTTTCGGCCCGCCTTGGGTTTTTTTCCCGCTCCCATCAGATTTGGAGTCTGGGGAGGATGTCATCCATAAAATTTACATGCTGTGGCCTAACAGTTAAACCCCACTGTACATGATACCATGTAGCATCAGAACCTGCACCTTGCCCTGGGAATATGAGGGGTTTGTTTCTCTATGACTTACGTCCAAGCGGTTATTGAGGACGTCTATGACCACCAGGTGTGGCGACCACTTGGTCACGTGATAAAACAGACCTGGCTCCGAGGACTAGGTAGTGTACATATAATAGTATTATACTATATCATATTTGTATAATACATGATTGTTCATTACAGATGACATACACGTACCTGGTGTATTATAAGTCTGTATAAGGCCACACAAATTTAATTGTTGGATTTCTTCAGAAAAAATATGAAGCAACAGGGCGAAACAAGATAAAAACTGGTCTGGACAAATCCTATTATTAATAATATTATAACCGAAATGCTGCAAAAGGTCAGCCATGAAGTCAACACAAAAGGCTGGGTTAATATTCAAACAATGAATTTTGAAGTTTTAATCAAACGACTGCATTGCTAGATGGAAAAACTGCAACAACTATGAAGAAAAGGACTTTCCTCAACTGTTGGGGGCAAAATATGAGCATATTTGAGTTGATTCAGAACCAGAATCTTTTTTTTTTTGCAAATCAGAAAAAAATGAAGAGGCCAAGTTAAATTGGTGTGGCCTAAAGGTGTGTAAAATATGACAAATGAGTACTTAAATCAACAGTATTGTAAAATCTTTGGATAAGTTTAGATCATACTTAATTGTTTTTAGTGAATCTAAAAGAGCTATGAATGTTTCTTAAAATCAGCCAGCAAAAAATCATTGATATTAGCCAACTGTCCCCAAAATTCTGTAGGTAACCTACATATTAGGCATCACAAGTATCAGAAAGTTGGAAATAGCTAAGTTTGATTATTACATGTTGTAATGGAAATTACATAATTGTTGAAAAGATTCAGTTTTGATAAAATGAAATACACATCTGGGGTTGCCTGCACATTTAATTGTTGGTCACAATTTTCAACTGTGTTCAAACAGGCACAGATGATCCATGGTCAAGCATATCTCAAAACTTGTACCTAATAAACTTAAATCTTTCCAACATGATCACACTGCCATTAGTGGCCTTCTATACAAGTAAGAATAAGAAACATTTGCTGGAAATACTTACCCTGGGCTTGACCAGTAGCTGCCCAACTACTGTAAAGAGTCTGGCAAAACCAAGTGGAGTACAAACTGCAGAAAAACATCAGATACAATATTTGTGAGGCATACAGTATAAAACTGTAAAACTGAATGTGGGTCCATACTGTTGAGGCTGTACACTTTGCTATCTAAGACCACACCAATTTAATTTGTTGTTTCTCAGATTTTTTTAGAAAAAAATATGAAGCGACAGGGAAAAAAAAACAGGCCAAGGCACCCCATGATAGCCGGAAATGTTACAATATGAGCCATGAAGTCAACATAGCAGGCTGGTTTATAGATTTTGAACTTTTAATGAAATGAAGCTGCATTGTTACATTGAAAAACTTTAACGACTAGGAAGAAAAGAACTTTCAACCATTGGGGCCAAAATATGTCTTTCATTGATTTTGCAGTTGGTTCAGAAACTAAAATCTTTTTTTTTTTTTGTCAAATCAGAAAAAAATGGACAGGGCGAATCTGAGAAACAACAAATTAAGTTGGTTTTTCTAAAGCATTTTCTTTCTATCAAAATGGTCACAAGAGAAGCACTGTCAGTTTCATCTAAATTCTCTTAAACTGCCTGTTACATTGTTAGGTTATGCCAAAAATGAAACCAAACTATACCCACCTAGCAGCAGCAAAACACCCAGCAGTGATATGCAGGAATACAGGTATGGCAGGTAGAAGTTCCAAAAATCTGCAAAAATAAGATATCAAGGATTTAGGTGTAAGATATCTATGTCGTCTGAAGCATATGAATAGTTACATATCATTGATTGCATACTCATTGCTAACCAACTACGTGTACCATATAGAAACATACATGAAGCATATCTACAAAAAAAATTAGTGTTGCCCGTACTCTGAGAGCATTTCGTAAGTGGCATACCTTGTAGAATTGGTGGTGATAAAGGTAACACAGGGCCCAAAATACTGGGAAATGTGCACCTAGGTGCAACATAAATATTGGAGTTGTGCAACTATTTTTTTCTGTCTGTAAGTGCATAGGTGCACTGAAATACTTTTCGTAGGTAAAGATATCAAATGTATACTTAGTCTAGTATACAGCATATCTTGACATCTAAGGCCACACCAATTTAATTTGTTGTTTCTTGGATTTGCCCTGTCCATTTTTTTTCTGATTTGCAAAAAAAAAAAAAGATTTCAGGTTCTGAATCAACTGCAAAATGCTCAATGAAAGACATGTTTTGGCCCCAGTGGTTGAAGAGAGTCCTTTTCTTCATAGTTGTTACAATTTTTCAATGCAACTTCGTTTTATGAAAAGTTCAAAATCTATTGTTTTAATTATAAACCAGCCTGGTATGTTGACTTCATGGCTCATATCATAACATGTCTGGCCTTCATAGGGTGCCTTGGCCTGTTTTTTTTTTTTTTTATTATTATTTTGCCCTGTTGCTTTATATTTTTTCTGAAAAAATCCAAGAAACAACAAATTAAATTGGTGTGGCCTAAGTGTCATAAACATTCTGATTCTCATAATTCAGAAGCTCAGAAAAGTAGCAGTAAGGTTTGTAAAAAGCCATGTGTAGAGCTGTGTGATTGTTAGTGGCCAGCAGATGTGACACAACAATCCTACCTGTGGCAAAAACTGTGCAGTTCCCAGATCAGGCAAGGAAGAACACAAAAACATGAACATTGGCACAAGTTTTGGTCACTTGATACACTAGTTTAACAAGCAGATATAACCTTGCCAGTAGAGAATGGTGTGAATCAAGAGAGACATAGTAATTATAAGTTGAAACCAGTCTTACTGAATAGCTAGCCAAAAGATTTTTTCAGTACATTTGCTTTTTGTTCATCTTTTCTGCTATTTTGATCTAGTAATGTAACATACTTACTGTGCTAATGTCAATACAGGACATGTAAATTGTGCAGTGAATATTGTTCTTCTTTCCTTGGTTTATCAATATTTGTATAGCTGTATTTTTAAAATATGATGTTAAAAATACTGTCCTGATGCAGTTAAGTTTTACGTTCAAATTGTATTGTATTTCTTTCATCCCATCAGCAAAAAAAAGAGAGAATCCCAAACGACCAACCCAAACGTTTTCTGGACTGCAATAGGAAAGACAACATTGATTTTCCTAGGCCTATAGGCCACATCAATTTAATTTGTTGGTTCTCGGAATCACCTCTTCATTTTTTTCTGATGCACAAAAAAAAAAAAAGATTCTGGTTCTGAATCAACTCAAAAATGCTCAAGATGGTTCTAAGGTGGGGACATATTGTGTTCTCATCACTAGTATATGTCAGCTGAAAAAAGTTAGTTATACAATGCATGAGAGATTCTTACTTAAAAGCTTTATTTGATGCTTGTGTGAGATAGTTCAGAAGTATATTCTAGTGATTTATACGAAGCAGTAATAGTATGATTTTAAAAAACCAATCATACAGAATTAAATTTTTATTTCAAATCTATGTTACTGTTACAGTATTAACTAGAGTTGGGTACCTAAATGTATCAGAGGTTTAGTTCCAGGTCTGGACACAAACTTCATACCTGTACCTGTACCTGAACAACTTTACAAGTTTAATATAATAATAACATGTTCATCTGAACTTCTTAAAATATAATGGAAACAGTCGTAAACTTAGCCGAATCTTTATTCAAGACAAACAGAACCTGAGGTGGGTTCACAAACCACACAGAAAGACCAAAACAAAATGTCCAGTGGGGCTATTAAGACAAAAACTGACTTATTAACACTAATTTCACAATTACAATGGTGGTTAGACCACAGCATTGACAGAGCCAGTCATCTGTGGAGTTTGACCTTGCATGACCTTGAGGGCGTGTGTTCTGGCATACAGGTGCATTCCTACAGGTGTAATGTATCCTGCACAGGTATTCAGTAAGGGGGCCTATGATTGGTGCAGAGTATTTGTTTACAGATAATTGTTTAACAAGACAGAGACTGTTGAAATGATTCTCTGATGCATTTGAGGAATAGGCCAAGTTAACTTTCGAGTAGAAAAGGTGGTATCATGAAAATACTGCAGCCAGAATAACCAACAAGAGTCACTCAGCAAACAACTGTTCATGACTAAAGTGACCAATGACAAAGGCCGTCACAAGTGTTACTTTCAAAAAAACACTTTGTGACGTCAGAGACACCACCATAATTCAGGCAGGCAGGCAAGGAAAAGGAAACTGACTGAGTTCTTTGTCTTGAGGAATTTTAGGTAAGCTGCCAGTTATTTTTTTAATTCTGCTGTTAGAGCTTAGAGTGTCAGAAGGCTACCACTTAAAATCTTTCAGTATAAAGTTGTCAAGCAAGAGGTGTGTACCTTTTAAAATCAACATGTTAGTTTCACTTTCTTCTAATGTGTAGTACAGTTTGTACTAATCTCCAAGCAGATGTTTAAGTGGCGCAAAGGACAGTATCAAATTGGCCAGACTGTAACCATGAGCCACCCATCGGTGGCCGGCGACCTTCTCTGGCTAATGGATACAGGCTTGCCACCAAAAGGGATCTGCTTGGAGATTAGTGTAGTACTACGGAAGCTGTACTGTAGTGTTATAATAGTAAATTATATTCTATGGACACTCCCAGTGTCGGTCAACAGTATGCTTTACCTGCCATTAAACATTATAAATGTAAATATTTCAGACATTTCGATGTAATCTTTGAAACTGAGTGGACAGCGAAGTGTTACTTTGCAACATGTCTACACAAGGTGAGATCACAGAATCATACAGAATACTTTGATTAACACTTCAAGCTCAATGTTTGATCATGTAACATTATGTTGTTTAGTTATAGCTCCATAGTCAGAGCTGTGGTTTGGCAGCCTAATAATGCTAAAGCCAAAATAATACCAATTTATAAATACTATTTTATGAAGATATACGCAAAGGTCTACAGCAATCAGAAACTTGTCAACTTAACTGAACTTGTGTTATGACTTACACTTAGTCTTGACATTATCATCACTCGGATGAAAACATTTTACTCAACAACAATAACTACAAATGTCATGTACCATTATTAAGTACATGCCAATTCTTTAAAGTCAAAACAACTTTGGAGTTTTACTATAGAAACCAGTTGAACATATTGAATGTACTGAGGGGCAGAATTCTTTTTGAAATGCCAAGTTTTTATATACATAATCTTGACAATATTGTATTTCATAAAAACTGTTTCACCATTGCATATGTTGCCTTGCAGGTGTCAGGACATATTTCATCTTAGTAAAGAACAAGGTGAGCTCAGACTGGAAGGACCTGGCTTGGTGTCTTGGGTTTGAGACACCAGACATAGAAAACATTGAAGGCAAACGGCGAGATGACAAGTCCCGCTGTATGGAACTACTGCAGGAATGGCAAAAGCGGAAGGGAAACACGGCCACCATACATGTGCTGATGGAGGCACTACAAGAGGCAGAGCTACAACATGTTGTGGACAGTCTGAAGGACAAATATCCTGGTATGAGCTTTTCATTAAATGACTACATTGTATGTCAACTATGAATCAATGCAATTGACAAAAAGGAACAGGAAGAATTTCAGCTAATGCACTTGATATGAAAGTAGTAATAGGCATTATTTTTGATATGACACTAATTTGAGCTAATTCATTTTTTTGTTTCACAAATGGAACTTTCATTATGAGACAATACAATTTTGAAGAAATGTGTAATATGTGTATATATAGGCAGGTAGGCAGGCAGGTGTATATGTGCCTTTATCAGATTTGTTTATATCTATTTTAATAGTAGAGATATATGTTTATGTATGTAGAGATATATATTAATTTATGACAACATTGCCTGTAAACAAAATTCAACATACTTTCCCAACAGAGTTAAATAAAAAGGGAAAGTTGCCCGCAAGAAGCTATGAACTGCAAGGTAAATTCCTCATTTCCCTTTAATTGATTAATTTTAATTAATGATAACAATAACACTTGATCAGCAATGATTGAAAGTTTGTACTTCGAGGTATATGTTAAGAAAACTAGAAAAATAAATTTCTATTAATAATAAGTGCACTTTTGTTTGTGTATTTCGTACCCATTTTAACAACATGTACAATGTAGATTCTGCATCCATTTTCTGAAATGACTAGCTCTCTCAAGATTATTGACTGCATGAATTCACTCCTCAAAGTTAAGATACATTGTAAATCCTTTCAGACCTTCCGGTGTATCTAAACTTGGGAACAGAGCGGCCACCAACTGGGGTGGAGACTGATGATGTCTATATCAGCAAACGGATCAAAGAACTGGAGAGAACACTATTCACCATAGACGTGCTGAAAGACCCCAGGCGCTACGAGGAAACACAGCAAGTCCTTCTGACACACAAGATTTTTCTGAAGAAAGTTTTGGATGCATCATTCATCCTCCTCCTGACGTTCCTGCGCCAGACTGATGTGGACAGGTTCTACCACAACCACTACAGGGTGGGGGAGGGAACCCTGTCTCAACAACTCTCACACATCCTCATCTCAGACGACCTACAGGACAAGGTCAAGGGTGCCCAGCTGATCGTGAGGCTCCAGGTGAAGCATGAAGACTATGTGCGAGTACGAAACAGATTGGGGCAAGGTGAGAACCACGTGTTAAACTTACTAGTATTTAGTTTCATTTCACTTAGTTGAATTTATAAATTTAAACTATTACAGGAAAAATTTAAACTGATACGATGTCACCACACAGTTATGAGGGTAAAAGCGTAGAAACTTTTAGACGGCATTCACCATTTTTCTTCTGCTATTGTATTGGACAAGGGCAATAAATTATACATTATTCTTTGATAGATACATGTAGATGTTTATTTCAACATCAACTACATGTACAAACAATTCCAACAATTGATCAATTTTAGCACAAAAACTACTAAGGAACACAAAAGTAAAACTATAATATAGCCTCAGGCATCTAATACTTAAGTACATTTTGTACTAATGACATCATTCTTAATAAACAGGACTGGGCCATACCACTTCAATGGACAACCTGTCACCCCCCAGTCGACAAGTGGACCATTCCAGCCTGAGAGGCCTGGACCTGGCTGTGATTGGTCAAGAAAAGCAGTCCTATACAAGTGGGACTGACAACTTCAGACAAGTGCAGTCAGTCGTGAAAACAGCTAAAGAGAAATCCAAAGTTCATCTTAAGACGATGGAGCAGGTGACAAAGGTGGTAAAGATGCTAAAAGAGAGGAATGAGAAAGCAGAGAAAAAACACCTGAAACAGCAGGCAGAAATGAACGAGAAAATACAACAGCTTCAGGAGACCAACGAGAACATGAAGGCCAGAATAGAGAAGCTGCTGACTGCCAAGCAACCAGTAGAAGGTAGAAGTCAGCAAAAAGATCCATTACAAACCTTGTTAGACCAACATTACAAGGATATGTCTATAGCCACAAATACCGGATATATTAAACAGTCAGTGGTTCAGCCTAAAAGGAAATTAAAAGTTGAAGGTACAAAAGTCAGACCAATCAGGGTGGGACAACTATGGATGAGGAAAGTCAGGTTTGGGGGAAGGGGATCAGGTAGGGGGGAATTTAAAGGTGCTTTGAGAGTAGCTGTCTCTCAAGACAATGAGGTTTACATTACTGATTGGTTTAATGACAGAATCCAGGTGTTCACAATGGATGGTGTTTATATCAGAGAGTTCACAACAACTCTGCCAGGGGAAACTGGGGAAAAGTTACATGTAGAACCAGTTGATGTTGCTGTAGATAGAAATGACAACCTGTGGGTGGTGAGTGGTAAGCATGTAGTGCAGTATTCCAGGGAAGGCACCTGTTTGGTCAAAATAGATCTGCCACAAGTTGGATACCTCCGTGGCATAACTGTATCTATGGCAACAGAACAGGTAATTGTTACAGAGTATGATGGGCAGAATGGTCGACTTCGAGTGTTTAACCAAGATGGTTCTGAGGTGGGGACATACGGGGAAGGTCATAGGTCACCAGAGCCTTGGCACCCACGATATGTCACTGTGGATGGGGAGGGGAACATTCTGGTCACTGATGCCAACAATCACTGTGTCCATATCTTGGACAGAGAGGGGAACTTCAAGTTCAAGTTTGGGACTAAGGGATCTAATGAAAGCCAGCTGAAAGATCCTCAGGGCATTTGTGTTGTTGGGAAGGGAAACATCATTGTGGCTGACAGTGGAAATAGTTGTGTGAAAATGTTTGACAGTCAGGGCAGATTTCTGTGTGTCATTGGAAGTGGACTATGAACAGTCCCCAGGCTGTTACTGTGTCACCAGGTGGAGATGTGGTGGTGACTGATTGGAAACATGACACTGGATCAGTGTGGACACAGGGTTAGTGCTGTATCATACAGGGGAAAGAGTTGTGTTCACAGGATTCGTGTCCACTGTTCGACCAACTACATCCATGGCAAATAGAAGTAATTTTGCTGTACATTCCATACAGAAACTCAACAGTCCAATCATATGCATTTTGTATCATGTTCATCAGACAAATTGTGTTTTACAACTAAATACGTCACAAAGATTTAGAGCTATCTTAAGTTAGTCAAGAACTGTTGTGTAACGTATTTGCAGCAACAACTAAGAACTTCAAGACAATCAAAGGTCACCTCAGGTTCTGTTTGTCTTGAAGAAAGATTTGGCCAAGTTTACAACTGTTTCCATTGTATTTTAAGAAGTTCAGATGAATGTGTTATTATTATATTAAACTTGTAAAGTTGTTCAGGTACAGGTATGAAGTTGGTGTCCAGACCTGTAACTAAACCTCTGATACATTTAGGTACCCAACTCTAGTTAATACTGTAATAGTAACATAGATTTGAAATAAACGTTTGAAACAAATTTCCTGTATGATTGGTTTTTTAAAATCATACTATTACTGCTTCGTATAAATCACTAGAATATACTTCTGAACTATCTCACACAAGCATAAATAATGCCTCAAATAAAACTTTTAAGTAAGAGCCTCTCAAATAACTAACTTTTCAGATATTCTAATATTAGTGATGAGAACACAAAGAGTCACTTCAAGAAAAAGTACTACCAAGACTGCTAGTGTTATCACAGTGACCGTAGCATTTGGGGCTATATAATAGGATGCCTAGACCTGTTTATATTTTTTTAATTTTTTTTGCCCTTACGCTTCATATTTTTTCTAAAAAAATCCGAGAACCAACAAATTAAATTGGTTTGGCCTAATATTTGAGTATGCAGACATATACAGGACTTACTGAGGAGTGACTCCCGACTGGCTGTGTCTTGGTCCAGTAGTGCTGAGGCCACCCACACCAGTCCTACCACTAACACTCCCAACAGGAACAGTACTACAAATGTCTCATACACACGCGCCATGATACCCTACGGAAAAAAAATCATCATCATCAACAGGAAGTCAAAAAACACCATAAATACACAAAGAAATATATATTTTCACCAAAGGTTCTTTGAATTGTGCATATTTTCACTGAATCTGGCTATGCAGCCCTGGAAAACAGCGTTTTGGTGCATATTTTTAAACAAAGAATGTATCGAGACCGGACACCCCTCTGTGCGAAAGGTCATGCAAGTAGACCCGACCTATGATACTTTAAACACACCAAAGGTCAACGGTTGCGACCATTTTCACGCTCAAAGGGGTGTTTCGGGGCCACCAATAGGCACCATTTTCCCGACCGAAAACACATATACAATAAAAACAAAAGAACATGCATCATCTACAGCCCAATAGCAAAACAAACACTTAAACTAAAGGCGGTTTACCGGTTATGCAAAACAAGGCGCTGTCTCCTTCCCCGGGGGAAATAATATAGAGTATAGATCAAATTTAAAGATATATGTTATCTAGTTTGATAAATATTATTACACGACTTTGGCAAGCAATCAAGCAATGTTGTCTTTTCAATGGCATCTAACTGTAACCATAACAATAAGTGAACAAACAACTGCAATTTAGAAAGATATATAACTTTGTACTTCAATGTGCATGAAATTATAGTTCATCATCACTGTACAAGGATTTCCATATGACTCCATATATTACCTTTTTGGACCCCATGAAACCTTCTGACTCGGTGAAGAAGTATGCAAACGGCATCAAGATGAACAGAGACAGGTTGGAAAACAGGAATACATGATTCCATAGACCTGTGGGAAGAAAACAAACCATTAGTGAGCCTGAATGTACATTCTTGATGTAAATTTGTGTCAGGGCTCTCGCCAGCACCAGTTTTTCCGTCAATTTCTGAATTTCACAGACAACCACACTAAACACCACGTTGAGTCATGTGGCACAGTTGGTAGTGCATTCGGCTCACACCCAAGAGGTTGCGGGTTCGAATCCTGCCCATGTCACCGTTCTTGTGCCCTTGGGGAAGGCAATTTACACAGCTTGTCTCACTTCACTAAGGTGGAAATGAGTACCTCAAAAAAAAGCTTCGGTTAGGGGCCATACCCCACGCACGGTAAAGAACCCAACGCACTTATCAAAAAGAGTAGGGGACCTTCCCGGTGTGAGTGGTTCAAACCTTACAGTCTGGTCTTATGCAGCTTGTACATATTAGTACGCGCATGTACAAACCTGGTGTGTTACGCCTAAAGGCGGTTTACCGGACGGTTATGCAAAACAATGATTTGCCTCTCAAAATGTGGGAAATTGCATTTTTGAAGGCTTGAAAATCCAAACTCACTTTTATTTTCAATATCAATATTTTTTCCTAGGCCTTACTATGATCAGTTTTGGGCCCTCATGCAAATCGGGTCCAAGTCTTACCATGGATAAGAGAACTGTTGAGCCATTTCATGTACCAGCTCTTGGGGTAGATGAGCAGGATCTCATTACTGATGATGGAGATGGGGAGCAGCAGCACAGCGGCCGCCGACACGGCCAGGGTGAAGGTACAGATCCACAACCTGTAAACATAAACAAGTAAACACAAACATAACTAGAGTTCCACGATCTCATACCTTCGCCAACTGATGTTAATCTTTATGACTGACAAAGATGATTCCTTCTGATTATGCAAATGAAATCCTTATTTGTATTATATTTATATTATAATATATTTTATATAATATTGTATTATATAGTTGATCATATTCTCCATCAAAAGACAGCCTTATCTTAACAAAGAAAGCCATTCTATCATTTCCTCATAAATTATGCAAATGAGGTCCTTATTTGAATAAGTTATATACAATATGTTTAATGATGTTCACCTTCACTTAACTTTCAAATACCCCAAGTATGAAATTCCAGGAGGTTAGCATTATGGAATTATAACATTTTCTCATTAATTATGCAAATTAGGTGTTAATTTACATCATCAATATCTGCCTGTGTTTCTCTCGTTCTCAATTACATATGTCACAAGCTTGAATAGTCCTATAATGTAATAAACCTGATTTATAGAATTTCCCCATTAATTATGCAAATTAGATCCAGATTTGCATAATTGTCACATAATTATGTCAAGCGTCACTTGAGCTACCTACATACCAAAAATCACGACGATACGTCCACCAGTTCTTGAGTTATCCTCTTTTGAATATTTTCAAATAGATAGCCCTGCAGTTCCTGAGCAAGCCACTAGGGGGCCCAAACTCATGTAACTTCTTCCCCCAGCATGAGGGCTACCTACCATCCAAATTTCGTCACCCCAGCATGTCTAGATCATGAGATATCAAAACCGGAAGTTTAGCTGCAGTACCATAGCAAGTCGCTAGGGGGTCCAAAATCTAATCATTTCCAGGTCTCATTAAGACCTACCCACCTACCAAATATCAAGATAATCCATCTAAGCTTTCTCAAGTTATGCTGTTGACAGACAGACAGACACACAGACAGACACACAGACACACGGCCACGAAAACATAACCTTCTTGGCGAAGGTAATAAACAAGTATGACTCTGGCCTCAAAACTTTAAAACTTTACTTCCTATTGTCCCAGCACTGTCCCAAAAATAAATTTTGATTGTCCTGAAGTGAGGATGAACTGTCCCAACCTATTTTTTGGAAGTATTGTATGACTTCAACTTGAAGTCAACTTTATTTTGCTTTTGTTCACTCCCAGGTGCACTATAAATTTCAGAGTAGACAGGAAATTTGGGGGGACTTTTACAGAATCTGATCCAAAAGCTGGGACGTGTGCCTGATAAACAAAAAATAAGGGCCGACATTTCTTTTTCTATTGTCCCAAAAATGACCCAAGTGTCTTTTTAGTTGTACCAGCCTAAATTTTAGTGGTCAGTGGTCATTGGACCTTTAGTTTCTTGCCCTGCTTAACCCTACTATGAGATCAACTCAACAACTGACCCATATACCGGATAGTATGTGTGTGTGTATGCATGCTCGCGCGCGCACGTGCGTGTATGTGTGTGAGATAGAGCGATACAGCACTTATTGTGAACATGCTGCAACAGTCAAGGAAACAAACATGGTGTATGTACTTACGATATTCTGTATACCCAGGCATCGTCATCAGCCTGATAGAAGTCGTCTCTCTCTGACCGTTTCCTGAACTTAGTCGTCACGATGAAGGAGATGCCATACAGGGCCATGAACAGCAGCAGGGAGATCTGGGAACAAGAGGGACAGGTAACATCAACACCCTGGGTAAGAGAGCAAATTGCTAATCTTTATAAGGCCTAGGAAAAAAATGTTGTGTTTCTGTTTCCCGACCGACCCTAGAAAAAGCTGCCGACCCTAGAAAAAGCTGTTGACTCTAGCCTTTTTTTGGTTGGTCCCCCAGCAAGGAACATCAATTTTTCGAGCTGATCAACTGTTTCTAGCTCCATGATCTGACACCTGAATGATGAAACACTGTACAATCAGTTTTCAAATACTCAACATTGACCTCATGCAAGTTTTACTTTGTTACTCTGTATTGTATAAGTTCAACCAGCTAGCCAAAGTCTTATAAAAAAAGAAAGGAAAAAAAAAGATAATCCCTACCTACCAACCCTAATTTTTTCAGGACTGAAACAGGAAACACAATATTTTTTTCTTAGGCCTAACTGCCTTCAGGCTAATATTATTTCAGACTCCCATAGCAGACATACTGTACCACTAAAGCCTGGATTTACATTATGTAATAAAATAGCAATATTACACTGCAGGTCAAGCATATTTCTAATACTAGGTTGAAGTTGGTGCGTAAATATAGAATACAACACGGGGTATTCCGTATCGCCCAAGGTATTGGCTCTACCGCGGGCCGGATTGCCCGACGGCCGCAGGCTGGAGGGCGATCCAACTCGCGGGAGGGCCGGGACCGAGGGCGATGCGGAATACACACCCACCCAAAACAACACGCCTTTAATTTAAATTAGTTTAAATGCAAGATGAGCCAAAAGTTGGTGCCACTTAAAGCACTAAAATGCAACAACATCAATTCCAACGTCCGGATTCTGTATTCGAATTTTCGAAAGGGGCACACGCGGTTAGGGCGAAACGTGTTCGAATCGTTTTATGGAAGCCATGGAAGCATTCGATAACTGGTTCCGGGCCGTACCGTAAAATACGGCTCGGTTCGGAACCCGTTATCGAACGTTATCGCAGCCTGGGTATGATATAAATAAAACATATTTTACTAGGCAATTTGCAATGACAGTTATCACAATCTCAGTTAATCAAACTCATACCACTGATTATTTGTCTTTCTCCTATCAGTTTTGTATGTATTATATCACTAAGTCTTGTTACATGAGTTGTGTACTGACATGTGTACTAGTACTAGGGCGTATTTGGACACTTCTGTTACTGACTGGTAGCCATCAGATAACAGCTACATTTTACCAGACCACAGCTGCCATAGATTAACTAAAGTAAACAGTGTAGAGCCAACAAACTCCTAGAACTTTCACTGTGCAGAATGCTGTTCCTAGCAAAACCTAGCCTCCTGATGTTTTTAAGACCAAACAGGTATTTTAGATAAATCAATGAAAAGTCTCCACCCACAATGGTTCAATGTCCAAGTCTGAATATGCTGACTGTGAGTTCAATGTTGCCTGAATAAACAATGACTCATTCAATAAATAGCTGGTAAATAGGTTAGTAGGTCGACTACATTGTACATGGGGTTGCCCCATGCTACATTAACAAAGCACAAAAAAACATTATCAAAATTTTACGTGCACTTCTTCCTTATGTTTTCAGCACATTTAGTGACCACTTCTCAAAACTTTTAGTTTTTCCGTAGATCATTAAAACTGTATTTAGCAATCATTAATTTTGATTACAGATCACATCACATTTACTGTATCTAGAGATATTATATTGTAGACTTTTCCAAGCTTCCTGCTGGTACAATGTACAAAATTTTGGACTTTGTTGTTGCTTTAAGAAAAAAAATTGCCATAACAAGTATGATAAGTGCTGTGTACCGGTTCACTGGACTTGGATCCGGACTTGTAAGAATGTTTAGGTTCAAGTCCAAAAAAACCTAAAAGTCAAGAACCGAGTCCGGACTTATTACCATAAAAGACCATTTCACATATATATATATACCACTTTTCTTTCCAAACCACCTAAAACCTTCCATAGATTGCAAAATCTTTGCTGCAAAATGAAGAAAACATGGGCATTGGGCATTGCCAAGTGTCGGCCTCCATGTCATGTGGCCAAAGTTTTGTCCAGACATGTACAACATTGCAAATTTGCCAACGTACAATTTTGTATCTGCCATGGGTTTAGGTCTGGACTTACAAGTCCGGAACTGAACCTAAACCTCTGGACTTGAATCCGGACCTGAACCTAAATGTGGGTTTAGGTACACAGCACTACCTATGATGATGAACTTTGTTCTAATGATGCATATCAGAATGTACACTCGTACACACTATGAATGGCACAATGCATGTTCTCTAACAATACTTCAGTAAACATGTTGGAACACTTGACAACAGAAGTGTTTGGGTTGTTGTGATTTATTGGACAATGAGCAAGTCAGCAAGAACACCTGGACACACCCTCAGGCCTATTGTTACTACTACTATACAAACATGCCAGATGTCGGACCTTGAGGTTAATGACTATGTATAGGCAGGGTTCAAATTACTTTGTTCAAGTACGTGCAAAATTGCACGTTCGCAAAAATTTTAGGTGCAATTTGAGAAATTTACTAGCAGAATTATATTTAGTTGGTTTGCAATTTTTTTACTGTATATTTACCTTCTTAGCCTGCTACAGCACACAGGAGTTTATGATACATATATTAAGAATAAGAGACAAAACATAAACAATGCTATATCATATGTGTGTATTTATTTGCATGATGTTTCAATTTTCAAGAAAAAAAAACAGCGCACACATACATGTATATATATACAGGTAATTATTCGTTATTTTCGGAAAATTGCACATTCAAAATACTTCTATGTGCAAAATCTTTAAAATCATACATGCATTTTTTGCATATTGCACATGGGTATTTTGAGCCCTGATACATGTAGGTACATGTATCACGCATTCTCCTAATGAGGGGCCATAGTCAATAGCAAGGATCATTTTAATAAGCAGCAATCAATTCTTATTTTTACTATTACATACATGTATGATCTTCCAGTCACCATGATTGCTGGCATAATTCTTTGATCCAACTCATGTGAGAAGATTGGTGACTGGGCACCACTACTGGCTGTACTGACTGTACATGCCAAGTCAAGTGAAAAACCACAACAGCCTAGGTACAAAATCCTGTGATTATCAAAACAATTACCTGTACATCCACTACAATAACCATGATTACTTAACAACTGGTGGGTGGAATGGACAACAGAAGGTCCTGGCTTTGGGTAGCCTGTTTGGATTCAGTTTTCCTCTAGACTAGCTGGGACTGTCTTATCAAAACTTAGTAATACGTTTTTTCTCAAGCCTTCCAGTAACAGCCACTGGCCTCGAAATAAACTTTTCTTCCTATTGTCCCAGCACTGTACCAAAAATAAATTTCAATTGTCCCGAAGTGAGGATGAACTGTCCCAACCTGTTTTTTGGGGAAGAATTGTATGACTTCAACTTGAAGTCAACTTTGTTTTGCTTATGTAGACAGGAAATTCAGGGGGACTTCTTTTCATCCAAAAGCTCAGGGATGTGTACCTGATAAACAAAAGAAGGGCTTACATTCTGATGTTGATTATTTTTCTATTGTAGCAAAAATGCCCCAAGGTGTCTTTCAGGCTCTGTCTTTTAGTTGTCCCAGCCTAAATTTTAGTGGTCAGTAGCCATTGGACCACCTTTAATTTTGAGCCCTGACCAGCAAGCAGCAAATCTTAGGTTGTATTCTCATGGTTTTATATAGCTTTAGGTTACACTCAAAGAATGCCTTTTTACTGGAATTACCGGATTGCTGTTATATCTATTCTGTTAATCTGGTCAATTGACCTACAGCAGTGACCCTTTGGGAATTGTAACTTTATCTGAAAATGGCCAGGTCCTGTCTGTACATTAAGATATAAAAGGGCTCGAAATACTGGGTGCATGTGCACCTTAGTGCACCCAAAACTTTTCTGTGCACCCAATTCTTTTCTGTGGGTGCGCTGGTGCACCCATATATTTTTGTAGGTATTTTTGTACATATTAAATAATAGTATGCAGGATATTCTTGGCATCTAACTTCTTTAGCGTCAGAAAAATAACAAAATCTTTGTTGTAGTTCTTGTGTAAGATTCTGAAGTTATCTCCCATTTTAGATTCAAGCGTAGAGGAGGACCATAAAAAAAAAATTTTGTGCACCTAAATTTTTAGGTTGGGTTCACCAGTGCACCTATTCTCAAAAATGAATTTCGAGCCTTGTAGAATAAAGCAAGGTGCTTGACCCAAAAGTAGACAATATGACTATTAATATTTCCTGGTGTGTAGATATATGAAATATATAACATAAAATGGGGTAAGGATTGTGTGAAAATTAATCTACAGCAGGTATATCTTTTACACAGTCAGTCATCCAATGATTGAATGAATATATCCTTTTCAGATGAATTTTAATTTTGTGTAATGCATATTCAGCCCACAAAATCTGATTGTCTGCAGATTCAGTTACAAATTATGCTGCATATTTGATTTATGAGCAATAATCCAATGTGGAAATCATCATGCATAATTCGTAACCGAGAACACTACAATTATGTTATGATAAAACACAGAATAATTTTCACATTATTACTACAACTCAAGGACACAGCTGCAGTAAAAGTCCAATGTGATTGAAAAATCAATGGAGTCTGGCTTTGAATGGTTAGACAGGGCCTTGTGATATACACATGGCACAGATAGAATTCTGACTTCCATATAAAGAATGAATCAGGGATGGGACATGTGACCCTTATGTTTGAGCTAGAATAATTACATTACACTAGTACTAGGCCACACCACCTTAATTTTATGGATGACATCCGTGTGCGCATTGATTTTCGCCTGTTCTCAAAAAAAAAAAGATAGCGTCCACCGAGGCTCTGTCCTGGCTCTAGGCCTGGGTAGTCCATGATAGTAAGTTAGCGACAATGCGGAGCCGGGCACCCAGGCTACCGAAGCTCCAGACCCAAGAACTCAGTACATACGTACAGTGTCGATTCATAAATTCCGCAAAAAGCCAGCATTTGCCAGCTAGTTGTATACGTCGGTAAGTACTACCACAAATTCATAATACCAGCTTTGTATTCCTGTGGTTTAGCATTTTCATTTTTGGCCGGAATTTTTTTTATTCGCCCGCGCGCACTAGTTTGGGGATCTTCTGACTCTGAGGATGTCATCCATAAAATTAAGTCGGTGTGGCCTTAGCAGAATTCATTAAGCAGTTTCAAATTCCCCTGGTACGCAAAACAGATAAATATGGGCCTTAGGTCTAAGACGACAGTAAGGCCTAGGAAAATAAATGTTGTGTTTCCTGTTTCCCGACCGACCCTAAAAAAAACCGCCGACCCTAGCCTTATTTTTGTGTGGACCCCTGCATATTGCTGAACCAAAACATTTTGCACGACGCTACCGAGAGAATCGCTGTCATTGGTGGAACATCGGGCGCCCCGCTAGCGTTTTGAAGTCGTGTAAACAACGCTAATAATTTGTCTGATTTGTTTGTAAAACAAAGCCATCGACTCCGAAAATAAGTTTAAAAGCCGATACATTTACGAACTAATCGTAGAAAATTCCCTACCGTACTGCACCATCAGCATGCGGCGGCCGCAAAAATTCGGCAACGCGAAAGAAAAATGTCTGGTCCATGATAGCAGTATTTCTCATAAAAATAATGTATATGATTTATTTTTCCCCCTTTGTCGGTCTTTTAGTCCCAAAACGCCTAAAAAAGCGGAAATTTGCCCATAAAACCGACGAGGAAAGGTAGCTATCGACGTAAACAAATTATAAGCACATGGCGAAAATCAGCAAAATTGGCAACGGGACAGAAAAATGCCTGGTCCATTTATCGATATTTACCATGAAAATGTCGTCTGTGGTGTATTTTTCCTCTGATGTGAGTTTTTAGGTCGCAAAACCTCTAAAAAAGCAGAAATTTGCCCACGAAAACGGACTGGCAAGGCATGGGGGAGGGTGCTGTTGACGCCTGCATGACCCCCAAACGGTTGAAGGTTATAGGGCACGTCCATTGCGCAATAACCTTAAATCGCCGATTTAGCTAATTTTTTGGGGGTTCAAATTGATACAATCACACTATCGATTTTTAGGCAAACAAAGGGATAGAAACCAATTTAAAATTTTGTGCAGATTAATTTTTTTTCTTTAGAATTCTTTTTGTTTCCTTTTTTTCTCCCAAATCCCTGGGAGAACCCTGAAAACCTGTAGACTTGAATCAGGACCTGAATCTGAATTTAGCCCTGCAAGGGCTAGGGACATCTGTTAAGTTCTTCGAGCTGATCGACCGTTTAAAGCTCCATGATCTGACACCTGAGTACCTGAGTGATGAAATATAATATTGCACAATCGATTTTTCATCATGTTCTGCTTATATAAACACAGCAATCAGCAAAGTCTAAAAAAAAATAAAAATAAAAATAAAATAAGATAATCCCTACCTACCGACCCTAATTTTTTCTGGACTGAAACAGGAAACACAACATTTTTTTTCCTTGGCCTAATTTTATGGAATTACATGCCAAGTTATGGTACTGGTCCAATCATTGTATAGATAAATCTTTAAGATTTGTATTGTAAATAATGACATCATATTCAAAGGCTGAATGACAATATTTTCTTCTCGACACAATTGCAAAAAGGTGAGATAGTCCCATAGGAATAGTACATGCAAACTACAATCAGGGACTACGTATTGGAGAAACATAAAACAAAAAACTTGTCGTGTGGGGTCGTGTGGTGCAGCGGTAACGTGTTCGGCTTGGAACTAAGAGGTCCCGGGTTCGAACCCTACCTTGTCACCAATCTTGTGCCCTTGGGAAAGGCACTTTACACAACTTTCCTCACTCCACTCATGAGAAAATGAGTATGCTAGAATGATCATTATAATGATCGTGGGCATTAAAACCAACCCAAAACTTCTGGTAATCAAATTAAGGTCAATGTAGATTCCAGTAGTTTTTCCTTGCAGGGTCTACCACAAAAAATATATAATAAAATCTGAGAGATCCATGAAAATAAGAAAAGAAGATACAACTGTATAAGTCTGTATCTGAGTGATAGAGAAAAACAAGCAGGCAGGTGGCATTGAACTGACTGGGTGATGTGTACTTTAAAAACTAACATGTACATAATACTCTGTAATGTAAAGATTGTGTGTACTTGCCACTGAAGACCACCAGTTCTGTTTTTCTTCTTTTTGGCAATGTGATCTCTCTTTTACTTGCTATATCTCCAGCTAACTGTGGCTTCGGTGTGAAATTCCATTTATTTGGGACGGAAGAGTTGAGGTCAAGTTTTTAATAGCTCCCAAAAAAGTGGATCAATGAAAAATTATACTAGTAGTTACGTAGAACATCCTTTTGAAACTGAAAGAATTGTGAAGCAAATTCGGTGACCCTGCAGTCCTTTTCTTGAAAGGTCACGTAGTTTATGAGTTTGCTTGTCTACAGACGCACTGAGAGATAATTGTTTGGAATGGTTGAAAGATTCTGTAAAATCTGTACAAAAATGTAACACGACAAGTTATGTCAAGCCCGGCCGTTTTCTTGCCTGGGGGTGTTCACGGTGCATAGTTTATGTAAACAAAATGTGCAGACATTTTAGATCCAAATCATAGCGATATTGTAGACATACGCCACACGATTACTTCATCTACATAAAAAAAGACACATTTGCACCAAAAATGTATGAAAATCTGACTTACAACATACTCCCTCACAGCGTTGTGGAAAACTTGTTCTTGAGGGTTCCAAACGTCGTCTGCTGACTCGTCGGCCATGTCGGGACTCGACGACGTAAAACTGGTCAAAGTCTCTCATGTAATCCTCAAGCCAATAACCGTCCCTTCTTGTTCCTAACCTCCATGGTGCTGAGCGCTGGTTTGTGGCGTGTAGAAGAAGCTGGGAAGTTGGAGGAGGGAAACAAAAAACAGACGACTTCCCCGGGCACGTTCAACTGTCAGTCTTCGGACACTGCTTGTTTTCTTCCTATCACCGCATCAAAACGATACAAATCGAATACTCTTATCTAGAGATAATATTCCATACAAATCAAATTAATTTGAGTACAAATAAATTATAATGTATAGATATTGAGGAAACAAGGTCAATAATAGGGTTTCATCGGCAATTCAATCTGATAAATGAAGTAAAGTGAAAACATTTGGTTGCGTTTAAATGCGGTTTTGACCTGTATACATTTAGGTGTTCACAACGTCTGTATTTGTGCCTAATCTTTTTTGGTCAATATCTCATGCGAGTTTGGAATCAAATCATCAAAAAATCATGGTTACAAAGACTTTATTTACACGCCTTTAATGTACTAAAGCTTATGTGGATGAATTCCGAAATGTAAAGGATTTTTATGTATTTTTCAGGGAAGAGGATATTTACAATGGGCAGCTTGATTTCAGAGGAAGAAGGATTGATGAAGATGATGGCAACAGCTCAGAAGAAGACAGAGCAGACCATCCAAGATTTCAAGTACTGTGAAGTTTGTCGACGTCACCATTCACAGGGCAGGAAGCATGTTTACTCCAGAACCCACAGGGATAATATCAACGCCATCATCAATAAGTACGGGAAGAAAGTCAAGACAGCGAAACCCGTCCTAAAGCATCCAGTGGTTGATAGTGGAGTCAATGAGGAAAATTTCTGGTGTTATTTCTGTGGCTGCGAGGTGAAGAAACATGACACAACCACGATGGCTTCTCTGAAATTCGCAGGATTTTTCCGCCATCTAGCAAGTCAGGAACATCGCCAGAAGACCTTTTCTTTTTGGTGGGACCACAGGATAGAAAAATCCTTGAAAAACAACTTTTTACTGACACAGGAAGATTATGGCAGGTACAAAAAGAGACTGGTGGAAGCTGTCGCACAGTGGGAAGCTGGTCAGCAGAAAATTACTAGTGAACCAGAGGTACCAACTTCCTCTTCTGACCAAAGCCAAGCACCTACAAACCTTAGTGAAGTTAAGACCTCAAGTAATCATAGTGAAGCTCAGCATCAAAAAGTACAAAGAACCACCAGACAGGTCCAAGAACTGCATAGGAACACAGGTGTCAAACTAAACAGTAAAGCTATGTATACCATAGAAGCACGTGGAGACAATCTAACCTGCATACAGCTGCCTAAAGCACCTGGAGCATGTGGAAACGTCCACACAGGTGCAACACCGCCTTGGCTTTGGAAAGACAATGAAGTTACCGACATTTCAGGAGCTTCTCCCAGTAATGAGATAGGTCCAACGGGAGAGGACTTACAGAAGCACAAGAAGCAGAAGACTTTACCCGCAGGTCGTGTTGGAGCGACATTTGACCGCGGTGCGTCGAGCGGCGAGGAATGGCTGCCGTCGTTCGGGCGGGTGTGGCAGGTCGGGAGGAGGTGGAAACCATGGCAACAGAAGAAGGGAGGGAGGAGAAAAGCCAGCGCTGCACAGAGTCGACCTGATCACAGTATGGAGGAAGTAAAGGGACCTTAGGAGTGTTCTAACCAGCACCCGTCTTTCAACTCATGACTAGTGCTGTGTACCTAAACCCACATTTAGGTTCAGGTCCAGATTCAAGTCCAGAGGTTTAGGTTCAGTTCCGGACTTGAAGGTCCAGACCTAAACCCATGGCATATACAAAATTGCATGTTGCCAACCTTGCTATGTTGTCTGGGCAAAACTGTGGCCACATAACATGGAGGCCGACACTTGACAATGTCCGATGGCAATGTTTTCTTCATTTTGCAGCACAGATTTTGCCATCTATGGAAGGTATTAGGTGGTTTGGAAAGAAAAGGAGTTTGTGACATGTTTCTCTGTTGTAATGTAGTTCAATACCTTATTTGTAATGAAATAGCACTGTCACTTTTGATGAGAACATTTGAATATACATTTGTACATGTACGTAAAGAAGTCAGGAAGTGAGTGATACTGTGTATGTCCATTTTCATTGAGCCATGATGCCTTTATTGTCATCAAAAGCAATGCTGTAAATAAACAAGTGAGTTATCAAAGCAATGCCTTTTCATGTATTAAATGTTTGAAAACTTCAATATTTCCATATGCTCTCTAGACAATATATATTAAGAGAAGGGAACGTTATTTCGGCAGGAAACCTCCCTTTCAGTTTCCCTTTAAAATTAACATTTAGACATAGCAATAGTTTTAGACAATTAGATTTCATAATGTACATTTTGAAGTTATTTTATACTCTGTTTCAGAGTTCTTTTATGTTTGTAACTTGCAATTAGCCTTCGGGCATGGATTTGCAATTAACTTCTACAATGATACCACGAAATAAAACCACCCCAATATTACATCTGAAAGTGATGGCCGGCATTTGATCCTTGATTGAAGAATTTTGAATTGCCTTTTTTTTCCCTAAAAATACATGTGTACATGTATGAACATCAAAATACCGTAATTGTATTCAGGCAAGAAAGAAATTGCCGCTGGCATCCCCGTGTAAAACATAACAGGCACTGGTGTTCTGTGCAATAGACACCCTGAATTGTAGCATGTGATGTTAAAAACAAAATGGCCGCCTCAAAGTTCAAAATAGCTTTGGTGCAACTTTTCGTGAGCGCTAACAAGTCAGAAAACCTCGCCCGTGCTTCGAAACTCATTTCACAAGCTGCTGGGGGAGGTGCCAACCTGGTAGCGTTACCAGAATGTTTCAACTCTCCGTACGGGACGAAATATTTCCCCGAATATGCGGAGAAAATCCCCGGCGAGTCGACAAGCATGCTAGCCAAGGTAGGTTGACCGGTCAAGTTACAGGGCGTTTATGTGAGAAGTTTCCCACTTGCTTGTGTTAAATTATCTCACAAAAACTTTTCACATACTATCTCTAGGTGATAATTATAAAAATAACAATCCTCACGCCTCTTTATTGTTATCTAAGCACTGTTTTCACACCAATTAATTAGCCACGCCCCCCTTTATCAAGTGCCTGACAGTTTGACACAATTCACAAGTACCTGAAAATTGTTAAACACGGGGGTCTCTTTTTCGTCCTTTGAACAGAGGATTTGATTTGAGGATTGTCGGACCTAGTACATAAAAGTACATCTCAGGGCTCGAAATTTATAGGAGCACTGGTGCACCCAAACTAAATTAGGTGCACAAAATTTTTGGGGTGCTCCATTATCCATATGAAACAAAACCTAATTACAGATCTTACTTCCTCTTCTGAGCTTGGATATGGATGGAATGGGAGGTAACTTCAAAATCTTAAACAAGTACTACAGCAAAGATTTTATTATTTTTCTGCTACTGAAGAGACCAAGAATATCTGGCATACTATTATACATTTCTAATGTTAAAAATTCCTACAAAAATATTTGGGTGCACCAGTGCACCCACAGAAAAAAATAATGTGTACAACTCCAATTTTGGGTGCACTAGGGTGCACATGCACCCAGTATTTCCAGCCCTGCATCTATACTACTATCATGTTCATTTGCAGGCTGCCAAAGATAATAAGGTATTCCTGGTTGGGGGTTCTATTCCCGAGGAGGATGGTGGCAAGTTGTACAACACGTCTACAGTCTTCAATCCTGAAGGGGAGCTAATCGCAAAGTTTAGAAAGGTTCATTTGTTTGACATAGGTGAGCTGTTATTTTTTTTATGGAGCTTGAAACCTTCTTATCTGTATACTTTGTAGTATGGTAATGTTATCCTAATATAGACAGAAACTTTTTTTTGCTTTAGATACATTATTATATCTATTAGCTGACATTACAACTTCCCCAGACATTAAAAAATATAGACTTAAGACATACAAATTATGTATAAATCATTACGACTATCATTTACATTCTATATCTACTTAAACTGATTTATATACATATGAAGCTCATTCCAAATTGTATGCTAACTTTGGGGAAAGAAAGCAAAATTATATTATTTTCACCCGCACCCAAATCCTGGCAAGTTTGATTTTCCCACGTGAGTGTGGAAGAATGGTTGCCCTAAGGCAGAAAAGAGACATCTTTTGTTAAAAAAAAACTTAATTTTGCATTCTCGATGTACTGTCTAATGTCTAATGTTTACTGTCCCTCTCCTATGTTACTTAACCAGATGTACCTGGTAAAATCCGGTTTCAAGAGTCGGAGACGCTGAGTCCAGGGTCAGGACTGGTGACCTTTGACACACCTTACTGTAAGGTCGGCCTGGCGATCTGCTATGACATCAGGTTCCCTGAGTTAGCACAGATCTATGCAAGGTGACTGGTACAGTTCTGTATGAAAATACTTGTAGTTTTTCTTCGTTTTAAACTAAGGCCACACCTAATTTGTTTTTTCTCAGATTTGCCCTGTCCATTTTTTTCTGATTTGCAGAAAAAAAAGATTTTAGGTTCTGTCGATGAAGGTTAGACATCCAGGTAATACGATACGCCAAAAAACAGTTACTCAAGCAACTGGATATGATTTTGAAAACGTCAGACGTTTCAGCTAGTATCCACTAGCTTTCGTCAGTGACTGAGAGACCAGAGGGGAAAGCAGGTTTATAAACACAACTTATTGATTGATATGCAAATAAAGTGAAGACAAGTTTTTGGAAGTCGAAAAAGGAACAAAAGTCAGACAAGTCAAGACAAGATGATGCAAATTAGTCTGAAAGCTCCTGTTATACAGAACAGGAGCTTAAGTGTTGTCTGTCCTCGGGGCTGGGAGTGCCAAATCCCAAGTGCCGGAAATTAGAAACTATGGTTATTAGATACTAGTGGATACTAGCTGAAACGTCTGACGTTTTCAAAATCATATCCAGTTGCTTGAGTAACTGTTTTTTGGCGTATTTTAGGTTCTGATTCAACTGCAAAATGCTCCATGAAAGACATATTTTGGCCCCAAAGGTTGAAGAAAGTCCTTTTCTTCCTAGTTGTTAAAAGGTTTTCAATGTAAGAATGCAACTTCGTTTCATTAAAAGTTCAAAATCTATTGTTTTAATCATAAACCAGCCTGGTATGTTGACTTCATGGCTCATATTGTAACATTTCCGGCCTTCATGGGGTGCCTTGGCCTGTTTTTTTGTTCCCTGTCACTTCATATTTTTTCTCAAAAAAATATGAGAAACAACAAATTAAATTGGTGTGGCCTAATGGTTCTGTAATAGTGCTTTGGATCATCAGGTGTAGGTACTAGACAGAGGGGTTTAGGTACAGTTTAAAAGTAATTACAGTAACTGTGGTCTTAAATGATGACAGAGATACGAATAAACATATAACAGAATGTTTATTTAGACAGGTCTAAATATGCTTTCCAAAGGGTCTCAAATCAAAGATGGAATACATGACCAGATATTCAGCTGTCTCTTGATTTTTAACATTGCAAGCTATATTTTCATTAAGTCAATTTTTTTTGTCATTCTTGTACTTAGTAATGTAGCAAGATAATCAACCCTATTCTATAGCATACAGATATCTGTGAGGCAAAAATGTGATGTTGCTGATAGAAATGGTTGCTTGCTGGTTCTAGCTATTTATTGGTGGTACCCTAGAAATAAACATAACTTTTGGGGGGGCATATTTCAAATGCTTTTGACGCTATTTCAATATCAGTCAGATTTCCTCAACCAGAATTTTTTTTTGTTACGTTGTCCTGAAATTACATTGGCTGCCTTTAAAACTTGCCCTGTTCTACTTTGTTTTACAGGAGAGGCTGTAAGCTGCTCCTGTATCCTGGTGCCTTTAACATGACCACTGGACCGGCCCATTGGGAACTCCTGCAGAGGGGGAGAGCCCTGGATAACCAGCTGTACGTGGGAACTATCTCACCTGCTCGTGATGAGGGGGCTTCATATGTGGCCTGGGGACACAGCACTCTGGTCAACCCATGGGGAGAGGTAAGGCTGTGGGCTCAGTAATTATTTCTTGAAAAGTTGTAATGTTGTCTGTAGGCCACACCAATTCAATTTGTTGGTTCTCGCATTTTTCGAAAAATATGAAGGGACAGGGCGAATAAAAAAATTAAAAACAGGTCTAGGCATACCATGATAGCCCCAAATGCTATGATAGGAGCCACAAAGTCAATATAACAGGCTGGTTTGTAAATTCAAACAATGAATTTCAAAATTTTAATCAAACCACTGCATTGATAGATGGAAAAAAAGTACGAAGAAAAAGACTTTCCTCAACTGTTGGGGGCAAAATTGGAGTATTTTTTAGTTGATTCGGAACCAGAATCTTTTTTTTTTTTTTTTGCAAATCAGAAAAAAATGAAGAGACGAATCCGAGAACCAACAAGTTAAATTGGTGTGGCCTTAGTAATGCAAATTCATTCATAATTCCTTAGAATGGAATTCTTTTCCACTGTGAAAAAATTTTCCACTATATTTTCCTCTTTGCACTTTCAGTAGAGTAGGACAATCTGTTAGCCAATGATTGCCATTTGTCTAAACTCACAGATTTCACTGTCCAATCATATTGAATCAAAGCTGTTGTCATGTTTCCAGGTGGTGGCCAAGGCTGGGCATGAAGAGGAGATAGTGTACAGTGATGTGGACCTGTCGTATGTAGATGAAGTGAGGTCATCAATCCCAACATCCAATCAGAGAAGAGCAGACATCTACAACTTGCAGGACATGAGCAAGAACTAACCAACAATACCTCAAACTATCACAAGTCTGGCCATTTATGTCATACAGCAAAACAATCATGCACAAGCTATTTATTGTCATTAATTGCTTGTCAAATTGGTACAAGGTGTACAGAAGCCTGTGTTTGTGTGTGCTACTGTAAGAAACAGGAGCGAGTAGAAACAGATAAAAAACCCGCTGGTCCCGGGCCGGGGTTCGAACCCACGACCAAACCCGAGCACCAGTTCAGACTCTGACGCTCTAACAATTCGGCTAAAATTTAGCTGGGTCAGTTGGTAGCACCTATATACCTCCCACTGTTACACTACTCCCCCTTTTCTTTTCAAGATTCGTCCTCAGAACCGGTGTGGGAACCACTGTAAGAAACAGGAGGAACGAGTAGAAACAGATAAAAACCCTGCTGGTCCCGGGCCGGGGTTCGAATCCATGACCTAACCCGAGCACCAGTTCATACTCCGACGCTCTAATGATTCGGCTAAAAGGTCTAGACCCATTGGCTGGGTCAGTTGGTAGCGCCTATAAACCCCCCACTGTTACACTACTCCCCCTTTTCTTTTCAAGATTCGTCCTCGAATCTTCTGAATTCGACATCCCTGGAGCAGCACTCTTTGCCAGAACGGGTGTGGGAACCACTGTAAGAAACAGGAGGAGCTAGTACAGCAAAACAATCATGCACAAGCTATTTATTGTCATTAATTGCTTGTCAAATTGGTACAAGGTGTACAGAAGCCTGTGTTTGTGTGTGCTACTGTAAGAAACAGGAGGAGCGAGTAGAAACAGATAAAAACCCTGCTGGTCCCAGACCGGGGTTTGAACCCATGACCTAACCCGAGCACCAGCTTCAAAATCCAACGCTCTAACCACTCGGCTAAAAGGTCTAGACCCATCGGCCGTGTCAGTTGGTAGCGCCTATAAACCCCCCCACTGTTACACTACAAGTTAATTGTAATGTAGTAGCCAAATGGTTTGCAAAAGACTCCACAGAGGAAAGATCATTGAGACACTGTTGGTCATCCAGAAATTTGACAAATCTCTCAAGTCTTTCAGTGAGCACTAATATGATATCCTAGATCTTCCAACCATGTCTAGATGATTCCAATGATCAATGCTATTTGATAATTCATCTATAGTCTCTGTCCTGTGAAAATAGTGCCTCAGTAAAGTTTATACATGTACTTGTAGCTTCTTTACATTGAAGCAATGAGCCTTTGCTACAATACAATAATGAAATACACCAAAGTACTTAACATTATTTTAGAATTGTACTTTATTTCTGGAACTCACTCGTGTGTAACATTTACAAGGCATTGTGTTCATTGAACTATTATCTACCTTCAAGCATAGAAATTACAATGATTTTCAACACCTACAAGATCATGACAGACATACGCACAACCAATGTTTGTTTGCAATTTACACTGCATCTTTGCTGTTACTGTTGGTTTCCAAGACGATTTACTAAGACGATTTTAATAGGGAGAATCACAACTGGCACTTTCCTCAATAAAGACAATGATGGAAAATATACTCCAAGTCCGTAAATAATTTCATCAGGTTGGTAAACGAATGAATAGCAAAGTTGTCAACCATTTATTTTTACGAGCCGATGTTTCGATGACCGTCTGTCATCTTCATCAGGGCAATTCTGACTGGTTTACTGTGCACTGACGCTAGATGTTAGTGACAGGGTACTGTGAACTATGTAACACCTTTAGTGCACTATGCACCAAGTAACATCTAGCGTCAGTGCACAGTAAACCAGTCAGAATTGCCCTGATGAAGATGACAGACGGTCATCGAAACATAGGCTCGTAAAAATAAATGGTTGTGATCAAAGAACTTTGCTATTTATATACTCCAAGTGTTACACAGAATTTACATGTATGTAGGACTTTGCAATGCTCAGGGAAAAAATTGAAATAAACTCAAAATGCATCTGTGAAAGTTTCCAATGGCAATGATAATGTCTTTTGACAAAAATTAATACCCTCGGTAATCATAACTGCCATTAGTCAAGGCAAACACACAATGTACCTCGATGGTCTAGGTATACATGTAGAGTTGACAACATTGCAAGTAAAAAACATGCAGTCATCTTACACATTGGAATTAATTTTATACAATTTGCCTCTTTTAATTGTGCTATAAAAGTCTGTAAACTTTGCATATCATCATTATGGATCTGTACAATTTTTATGCTCAAAATTTGTCATAGGAAATAATGACCAATGATGATTCTTTGAAAGCTGGTGTTACTTCGTTTTCTTTTAAATCTTAAAACTTAGTTTTGAGATAAAGAATCTACATTGTCACCACCTATTCTAGACATTCAAACATTCTCAAAAAAATTATTGCACTTTGCAGGTCAGAAAGAACATTGCGTCATTGGAAAAGCTGTGACTTTTCCTTATACATTGTTATATGTACATGTTGTTTTTCTTGTGTACCTTCAACCAAATTTTCGGAAATTTCTGGCAGTTGGAAGGCACAAGTTAGTACATTATATTTTTGACCTATCAGATAATACAGTTTTTTCAATCTTTCTTATTTTATTCATCTATTACACTATAATTTCACTGTACAAGTTGTTGACACAAAAGTTCATATTCAAGCAGCCAAAGCAACAACTCAAAATCAGCTGTATACCTGGGTGTTAGGGGTGTCACAATGATACATGTTTGGAATGGGAAATTCTGAAGTCTCACTAAGGCCATGTTGATTTGATTATATGGATGACATCCTCTGGGAACCCCAAAACTGATGCGAGCGTGCGAATAAAAAAAGTTTGGGAAAAAAAAAAGTTGCATTCATAATGAAATCTATGTGGTCATGTAGGTTGAACAAATGACACAGAGTACGGTATTGCGAATAATTTACTGTTCAAATTAATTTCTTCACATTTTTGTCTTTTTCGTTTAATTTTGGCATTCTATGACATCGGTATCATTTTCCAATATTTTGTTTCAACTTACAGTTTATATTTGCTCCTTTTGTAACTGTTTTGTACGATTTACAGTGTGGTTGAAAATTTTTTCTGGAAACAGCCGAAAATTCATGCGCTCCCGGATATCATCCATATACTAGTAATCAAATCAACATGGCCTAATCAGCCTACATGTTGTAAAAGCAGCACTTTAATGTAGAATCTAACAAATATCTACCTATTATCAGACTGAACATGATCTTTTAATGATATTTTGAGACAAAATGTTGTTTCTGACATGAGAAGAAATAAACTGTGTGGCATACACATACATTGATGTTGAGAAATCACCAATTAAATCTTTTAGATCAAGAAGGTCCTTTTTTTTGGTGACTCAACTCAACTGATGCTAAACAATGAGAGACTGAAACACAGATTTATAAATTCAATAGAAAACACCCAGACACAAGTACAACATGTATCATGAAAGTTCATCTGTGTAAACTTGGTAGTTACATGTTTAAAGTTGAAACTTTTGGTCCAACACAAAAAGTTCTCTCACCTAGAGCTTTCGACCAGACACTCTGGTCTTCCTCCACTGTTGATGTCACACTTTAAAGAAGCCACGCGACAAGCTTCACTGGGTCAGTCTACTGAGGAAGACCAGAGTGACTGGTCGAAAGCTCTAGGTGAGAGAACTTTTTTGTGTTGGACCAAAAGTTTTAACTTAAAACAGCACAACATGTAGTTTACATGAAAGGTGACCTCCTGTGTGCCTTGCCTTTCTTCTTGAAGTACATTTTGATGAGCCAGTTGACAATAAAGGGCCAGACTAAGATGAAAAAGGCTGTTTTTCCAGACAAGTTGGAGAAAGGCCACCAGGAACTTTCCTATGAAGAAGAAAAGATAAAAGCATGTCTTCTCAACACACAGGCTTTCAAATGAAACGTTCACCGCCATCTCCATAGCCATGTTTCTCTCATATTTCTAGTTCAATGCCGAGAAGTGGTGGTATAGGCCTTGCATTGAACCACTCCGTTAAAAAGAAAAACACAGACTTAAAAGGAAACATCAAGAAGCTTTTAGTTCTGGATAAAGTAGAAATACAGTTACAATGTACTACGGCAAATGGTTAAACATTTTGTGCATACCTGTTGCTGTTGGGGTTGCACAGCTTGAACTGCAGGGGCAACTATACCTCCTCTTGCCTGAAAAATAAAGGACACCTTCATAATCACAATCACCAGTTTTCGTTATGTTTACCTTCGCAGAAGGAAAACATTGTTCTTGCTCAGTTTCTTCTTCTCCATACACATAAGGTCAATGACCTGGACCAGAGTCTGTCACCATGGCAATTAGTGCAGTAGCAACACCCTCTGGTGTCGGGTTACATGATGAAACAGAACCAAGGACAGAGCTAGGGGTGCTTGTAACAATATACATGTACTAGTATATGAATGTGTTTGAGTTAGGCCATAGCAAGTAATTTTTATGGATGACATCAATGCGTGCATTAATTTTCGCCTGATCTTGGAGAAAAAAAACAAGAACTTTTGTTGCCTTCTGACAGTGGTCATCATGCCGAAACTGGGCAAAGATGCCTGTTGCCATGCCGGAAGGTGGATGGCAGATAACTAAGAAGAGAGGAGACAAGAAAAGGCTCTGATTTAATGTTTTGTTTCTTACTTTGATGCAGTGATATGCAATGCTGGCTGTGTATATGTGATGTTCCCACTGAATCAAAACCATTTGTACAATGATTGAGTCAAATTTTAAATTGTAGGAACCTTGATTTTTTTGGCCCGCCTTGTTTTTTTTTTGCCTGCTCGCATTAGATTTGGAGTCTGCGAAGCATGTCATCCATAAAATTTACTTGCTGTGGCCTTAGATTAAACATCGCAGATTAATTGTGCACCTACCTGAGAAGTAGAGAGTGCCTCCAGGGTGCTGAGTCTGGCCAGAACAAAGTTCATGTCCTGCTGTAGACGGTCCAGGGCAACAGCGATGTGTTCATTGACGTCAGATGGGCCCTGTCCTCGCCCCCTCCCCCTCTCCCCGTCATCTCCACCCCCTCCTCCATAGTAACCCCCCGCCCCTCGTCTGCCTGGGGTGCCCCCTCTGTCTCGAGCACCTGTACACAAGACAATGGATACAAAAAGATAGTCTTAAAATGCTTATGACACTAAAATATGACCTTAGCTGATTGTAATTGACATAACTACTAGTAGCTTTACCTGGCTAACAGACACATTTACAATAAATATGAACGGTTCTCCTGTTACATTCGAAATTTTAATGCCCTGCCATGGAAAAGTCAGTCCTGGCAGGCGATTTGCATCTCTACATTTTATTCTATGATGTCTATATTTTTTCCTGAGCTGATGTCACCCAGAAATGCAAAAATAAAACACAGAGATGCAAATAGAGATGCCCGAAGTGGGTGATTGGGAAGCTTGCTAGCAAGTCTCCGAAAAGTCACTTTTAGAAGGCCGTACAAGCTCAATTTCTCAGTCATCATGTTTTACAGACTTTTTTTGGTGTCATTTGGTCTTTAAACAGTGTAACCTAACGGATGACGTTTGGAAATCATTTACTGGTGGACTTTATACATTTTTCTTCATTGAAAAGAGCTAAAGATCTGGTCTATGACCAACCATGGAAGAAAATCTCCACAGTAAACAAATTTCACAGTACATACACCTTGACTTCTAATGATCAAAGTCTCATCCTCAAACCTACCTCTCCCCCCACTGCTTGTACTGTCTCCACTCTGCCTCCTGCTGCCCACCTGTCCACTCTGACCTTTGCCCTGACCTCCCATCTCTCCACCTCCTCGACCAATCACAGCAGGGCTTTCCAAATCCAACCGTCTCTCCACGTCACCTGACCTGCCCTGACGAATCAGAGGTGAGAAGCTCAAACTGTTGTTATATGAATCATCCAAGTGTGAAGAGTCAAGTGGCAAGCTACTGGAGAGGGCGTCCATCCCATCATGCCTTTCTGTCTGCTGCAATGCACCATGGGAAGGCAGTCCGTTGCTGTCGTGGTGGATCTCAGCCTGAGTCACAAAACTGTTGTTTCTAGACAGACCCTCTGGAGTCTGGCTACTTGGAGACGGAGATATTAGGCTTGGCATCTGTAAAAAAAGATATCAATAACTTATGGTTAGAAAGAGAATTGATATATGAAATTTTTTTTCCCCAAGACCTAACAATGAGTGAAACTTCTTACTGTCAGATTGGTTAGGATCCCTGTCTTTAATTTTAAGCACTTATATAATTACTACTATTTGTCTACATATGAAGACTTATAGTCTTACCAAGGAGGTACTTTGGATCTCCTTGCTTATACATTGAAAGACAACAAGTATTGTAACACCTCAATGCTTGGTTGATAACTCTGGTACTTGAAGGTACTCAACTATTTCTTGTTACTTTCTGAGTTGGTATTGGATACTTAGTTGCTGAACGAGTACATCCACCGGTTTATTATAAGAAGTTTGTTGCAAATTAGTGCCCGGGGGCTAATTACAAATTATAAACATAAAAGAAGAATGAAACAGAGTACAAAATAACTAAAATCTACATGATAAAAGGTAGTTGTCTAAAGCTATAGCTATGTCTAAAACTATGTCTAAGGGGTTTGTACGTCACCCATAATCTGAGCTGTACATTTTTGTCTTCTGGTGATAGCTATACATGTGAAAGAGTGTTATGTCAAAGGATGCCTGTCTGAGTTGACAGCTACAACAAGAGTGGCAACGTAAAAAAACACATTGGTAAATTGGCGACCGTGGTCTCTGTTTGGTGTTCTCATTTTTCACTCTTTGCTTTTCACTATCATTAGGCTTGCCCCCGAGGTGTCGCCAAAAACCTAGATTTGCCTACCTCATCGGGGACAGCCGGGGTGTCCACGCTGTCCTGGTACAGCTCGCTGTCCGTGTCTGAGTCACTGTTGATGTGATGGGGAGGGAAACTGTGGCCGTTCACTCTCCTGGGAAGGTTCTCCTCTCTGTCATCTGGTCAGGACAAAAACAATATTCATTCTTGAATATGAATTGTGGTTATGATAAGGAAATAGGTAAAAGGTAAAGGTCCTGTAGCCTTTTTTTAAGGCCGTGTGGGCAGTGGGTTTTGGGTATTGGAAGGCAGAGCCCATCCCTCCCTTCCACCACTTTAAGTTTTACCTCCCCAACCAAAGTCAGGTACCCATTTTACACCTGGGTGGAGTGAGGAAAGTCGTGTTAAGTGTCTTTCTCAAGGGCACAAGATAGGTGGCATCCAGCACCGAACCCGGGACCTCTTGGATCTGAGTCAAATACTCTACTGTTATGCCACACAACCCCATCAAGTGTCTAAGGAAATACATGCCCACAAAAGGCTATTCTCCAAACTTCAAACTTCATTAATTGAAATGTATTCTGACTTGTATTTGACAAGTGGATTTCTGTTCTTCTGAACTGACAGAAATTACACACAATCCAAGTTCAATGAGACATTTATAATTTATATGTCCATGGCATATACATGTATTAGTAAATGAGGCATCATGAGATATCCAGTTGCAATTGCATAGACTTTTAAACTACTTCCTTGTGCATAGGCTCTTATATCTTCATAATACTATTTTACAAGAAGATATAATTTGGTAATATGTAAGAACATATTTATCCAGATTCAACACATGAACTGAGACAAGGTAGAAAAATTCATGAAGAAAGCAGAATTGTTGTTTTCTTAGAACTGAATTTGAAGGTGACCTTGTGGGGTCATGTGGCGCAGTCGGTAGCGCATTCAGCTCACACCCAACAGGTCACGGGTTCGAATCCTGCCTATGCCGATCTTGTGCCCTTGGGAAAGGCACTTTACACAACTTTCCTCACTTCACTCAGGTGAAAATGAGTACCTAGCTTCGGTTACGGACGTCTCTCGGATAGGACGTTAAATGGAGATCCCGTGTTTGGAGACAGCCACACCCCACGCACGTTAAATAACCCACCGCACTTATCGAAAAGAGTTAGGGGACTTTCCCGGTGTGAGTGGTTCAAGCCTTACAGTCTGGTCTTATGCAGCTTGTACATGTACGCACATGTACAAAACTGGTGTGTTACGCCTAAAGGTGGTTTACCGGTTATGCAAAACAAATAAAAAAAAACCTTCATCCGGCTGTGCAGGTCCCTTCCCATGATGCTTGGCTGGCAGCGGGGTGTCGATAATGACGGGCGGGGTCGGAATCTCCATCAGCATCACCTTGGTAACGGGGGGTGTGGTCACTTGGTTTCCATGGAGATTTTCATCATCAAAACCTGGGGGGGGGACAAATTAGCCACAAAGTTTATTTCGTGTCGGAACTAAATTCTCTCTGTCTACCTTTAATGCTCTTCTCTGCAGTGACTTAGACCTTATTTTCAGAACTATTGTAGAGTGAAACTTGATGCCACCAAATCATTATTACTAGATAGCTTTAAATTTAGTTTAAACAATGCCTATGTGCACAGGTTAGGTGTAACAGGTCGTTCTGACAGTGTAATATAGCCAGCTGCCACTGCACTGCATGCTAGCAAATCTGGTGTGATATGCCGAAGGACAGTTATACTGGTTATACAGATAGATCAGGTTTTCTTTTTATCTCTTGCCGTGTTCAGGACTACTAATTCTTTGTATTCCTTTCTTCCTAAGTATTCCTTCATCTATCCGTAATCTCAGCTATGTTTAAGGTACAACTGAGCAAGACAGAGATTTTGATAATACGTTTGTTCAGGTTCTTTTAGTAATTATTCAGGTTCTTTAATTGGCTTGTACTTTGGGAAAAGTCAAGATCTATGTATAGAAGCAATTACAAACAATTTCAACTTCTACCTGGAGTGACTGAAATCATACATACTAGTACATGTATATTATCATCAAGATGCACAATCACATATACACACATGTAATGTACCATATAGAATTATTTATTTCACTCATCTTTGTACAACTCAATATATTACATCAATTATATCTCTCAGTTGTCAATAATACATACGATGATTCAAAACAATTGAACTGAATCAGATACTACTGGTACTGAATATTGAATACCAGCTTGATCTAATAAGCAAATGAAATCAAAACTCTGGATCAAGAAAGTATCTTAAGGACTATATCAACAGTTAGATTCACTTATCTCAAAGTCTTTATTGCAAATATGTGAGCAATTATAAATCATTGTAACAACTTTGGAGAAAGAATCAATAATGATCAAACTAACTAACAATTGGACAACATTTATGTCTATAATCATTTATACAAGAGAAAATCAATTCCTGATTTTGATTTAGTACCACCAGCAAAATGCAGCAAAGATACCTTTGCCAGGTTGAACTTCCTCCATCACTTCCTCTACTTCCACCCCAGATTCTTCCCTCTCCTCTGATTGGCTGTTGTCTCCCTTGCCTTGTTTGTGATTGATCAAAGCCTCTGCTTCTCTCTGGTTGGTCACTATCTCTTCTTCTGTCTGATTGGTTGAGACATCCTCCCCTCTGTGATTGGTTAATTCTTCCTGCTTTCCAATCTTCCCTGCTTCTCCATGCATCTGATTGGTAATTTCAGTTTCATTTTCTTCAGAATTGTCTGTTGATTTTTCTGTGTTTTTGTTGTTATTTGTTTGTATATCATCTAAGGTCTCTCCAATGTGATTGGTGGGAATCTCTCCATTTTCTTTTATAGCAAGAACTGGTTGGTCAGAGATGGACAGTTCTGATTGGTTCGGTGAAGATTTCCCTGATTGGAAAGGGGTTTCAAGGTCAACAAGTTCATAGAACGGCCCAAGAACATGCATGAAGTCCTGCATTTCTTTGTTCTGTGGTAGTGCCTCTATGATCTGAAAAAATTCACCAAAGAACAGTTGTAACAACATCTAAATCCCAATTACTCGGGTAATATCAATTAATCAATAATCAAATGGTTTATTTGTGAAAACAAACAAGAACTTTTGTCTTGAAGAAAGTATGTCTTGTTGTACAATTTACTTTCTCAACATTCTTCACATAATAAAGGTCTGAACTGCAATCAGTTATGACTAACACATGCACAGCTCTTCAACATTATTATAAAAAATGACTGTCCCAAACATTTGGAAAGAGACAATTCATTTTCCCTATAAGTATAACCAATAATGGTACATGTAATAGAGAAATGACAGCCAAATGGCTACCTCTGTGTGCTAAAGGTTAATAAACATTGTACCTTTTTCAGAGTGTCCACGTAGTTGTCCATGGCTTCTTCTTTGGGCATGTTGCCCAGACGATTCCATGCCTCCCTGTAAAGTGTAATAGGTGAAATGGTCAGGAAGTTTCAATACTAGAAAATACTTATTCCCTGTCTACAATTTCCTGCATTATTTGTTGCCTTATACTATAACTTGACGTTATACATGTAAGTTATACCTACATATAGCAGTGGGAAAAATGCTTTGACAGAATCAATAAAATTTTAGAAAGAAAATGTGACATTATTTTTGTGACATGGTTTTAAGTAATAAGTCCGGAATAGGTTCTTGACTTTTAGGATTTTTTTGGACTTGAACCTAAACATTTTTCAAGTCCAGAACCGGTCCAGAGAACCGGTACACAGCACTACAGTCAATCTTTGCATGCACAGTGAATCTTACCACTTTGCCCTGCCGACTACGTCCCAGAATCCAGGTCTGCTGATGTCACATGGACCAATCGTGGCCTGCTTGTAGTAGGCGTAGAATGTGAGCATGGTCTCATGGGAAGGGGTGATGGACCCTGGGAAATAATACAAACAATCACAATGATTCACATCACATCATCTACTAGTACTTAAAATTTAAATGCTGTAACAGTTATTAAAGGCATCCAATGCGATTTCAGGGCAGCAAAACTGGAAAAATTCTGAATAATGCAATTTTTGTGATATTGACACATACTGCTTCACATTGGCACATTTGAGTCAGCATTTCATACTTTTCAAGCAGCAGAATCAAGCCCCGAAAATAAGTCTTTTTTTTCGGGTGGTACCCTAAACATCAGCCCAGGGCCCTTCCAGTAACCATTTTCCGTCAGAATTTTGGAAATGTTTACTCCACGAGAGCCAATATACATTGGAATAGTATGGTTTCAACTCAGTATGTAGATATGTGACTAGAATATTGGCTCTTAAAAATTGGGTTTTCAAGCCCTAAAAACTGCACTGGGTGCCTTCTTCAGAGTTAGAGACAAAGAAGATGGTCTGATTCATCATCATTATCATCATACTATATATATTCATAGCCGCTCACATCTGTCATGCTCACATGGTCTGATTAGCAAATTATGGAAGCATCCATTTTGTGTCAAAAATATCTTAACAAAGACTAAATGTATAGAGTGCCATGTGCTTTCAAGTTGAGTATAAGCTGTGTTACATTAAATTTTTGTTAACTGAGAAAATGCTGCCAACTATTAAAAGCAGAAAACCTGTGTGGTCATCTTCATAAGGTCAAAATATTATATCATTTTGTGAAAACTTGGCACAAACCAAAAGAAAGCAGGTAACCTGTGTTAATGCTACAGGGCTCGAAATTCATTTTTGGGAATAGGTGCACTGGTACACCCAAAAATTCGGTGCACAAAAATATTTTAGGTGAACCATATAAGATAAAAATATTAGTTGAATGTCAGCAAAAGCTATAATTATGTTTTGTTTCAAGAAAAGTACAACAGTACAAACTATAACAGTGACACTTAGATGTTCAGAATATGCTGTAACAACTATAACGTTACATTCAACATGCGTAAACCTAAGAAAACATTTGGATGCACTGGTGCACCCACAGAAAAAAATTGGGTGCACAGCTCCAAATTTGGGTGCACCAAGGTGAACATGCACCCAGTATTTCCAGCCCCGACTGCTATTATGTGTGCTCGCGAGTATAGCACAATATAACCGGCAGAGTTAGCCACATGTGCCCGTATGTCTAGACAAACAAGATGTTTAAACTAAAGTAGGGTTACTGACACGGAGGTTAAACTGACTGTCTGAGGTGATGGCCAAAGGGCACCGAGAAATCCCACATCGCGTATCCACACCAAAAACTCGACAAATTACTACATTTCTCGCCTTGACAACGACATCGACACATCAGATACAAACTTAAGCACACAGAGTTACCGTACAGGCAGGTGTTGAGGGTAAAAACGTACCATTTTTGGGCAAACTTTGTATCACTTTTACAGCAGCGTCGAACCTTGCCTGAGCGGCGGCCATGTTTTTATTTTGGCTAGCTTATTTGACACCGCAGGCAAACGAAATAGAGTTGCCAGTACTAGTACATGTCTAGATAGCTCTAACTGAATGGTAGCCGAGATAAAACAGTAATGAGACAAAACAGAAATTAAAAAAAATGTGAAGTTTTTTTTCCTTTTATCGCAATGCTAAATATTGTCAGCTATTTCGTTTTTATTGACATATTTAGTATGATTGTTCGTTCTCGTTTCTTCGCGCTCTTAAGGTGCGAAACTAGAAACTGGGTGAAAAGCCAAAAGCAGGTCTGGGCAAAAAGCAGTTTGCTTTAATAATGTCATCTCGCAACAAAGATGCAAGCAAAATGGATTGGATATTCATTTAAAAAAATTCAAAGATTGATTTGATAAATAACAGTTAACGTTATGATAAGAAAAGTTTGAATCTTTACTTCTGGATAAAATAAGAAAATAATGTCAGACGTTTCAGACGCCGTCCGGCATCTTTCATCAGTGAAATATTCAAAATTGCGGTAGAACTCGGAACGGCACCGTTAATTCTAAAAGTATTTATGTTCTAAATAAACAAATAATAAGTTAGCAACAAGCGTTCTATAGATTCTATATACAATACACATGGTAAAGTATTAACTAATGTAATGATAAAGATAAGTGAGTCCCTAGATATGCTGTAAAGTAGAATCCCATGTACTTGAAAGTTCAACTCTAAGTCCTCCCTTCCTGTTGAGTGATGGTTTATAAAGTCTTTCATAAATCGCCTCCTTGACTCCACGCTCAAACCAGCGCGCCTCCCGGTCCAAGATGTCCGTTGATTCAAGATGAAAAGAATGTCCTTTATGTTTGTCCAGATGGTGCCATATGGCCGAAGAAAATCCACTGTTACTGGCCCTGCAGTGTTGCTTATATCTTTCCTTGAGCGGCTGACTGGTCTCCCCGATGTACGTTTCTTTGCATTGACGATCTTCACATTTTAGTCTGTAAATGACATCCGATTTCACACAGTTTTTAAGTTTGTCCTTTGGATGAAACAACATCTGTCTGAGAGTGCGACATGGTTTGAAGTTGGTGGCGATGTTGTAGTTGTGTAAGATACGTCTTATCTTCTCCGAAACTCCTTGGATGTATGGGATGGAAATGTTGACTGTTTTAGTCCTGTCTAACTGTGAGTTTCTTGACGTCCTCTTAGATGAGTCGGAAGGCTTAAGTGCTTTGTTAAAAGTCCATTGTTGATATCCACACTTGGATAGAGCTTTCTTGAGGTGAGTATGTTCCTTGGCTCTGGCTTCAGCCGAAGTAATCAAGGTGTCTGCTCGATGAAACAAGGTTCTTATCACACCAAGTTTCTGTTCCAAGGGATGGTGAGAATCAAAGATGAGATATTGATCGGTGTGAGTAGGTTTACGATAAACCTCCACCTCAATGTGACCGTCTGTCTCTACATGTAGTTTGGCATCCAAGAAAGGTAGTGTGTTATCTTGACTGGTCTCCTGAGTAAAGCTGATATGTTTGTCAACCTTGTTAATGTGTGAAGAAAAGGAAGCTATCAGAAATCTTTCGAAGAACCCAGACATCCTGATTCTGCCATCTGACAAAGGAAGATGCACAGTAGTGTTGGATCAAGAACAATACAAGGAGAAAGTTCATGATTTGTTACAAGATGACAACACGTACTTACCACTAAGGAAGGACCCTACATCTAATTTCAGATCTAAGATAAATGCAGCTCTTAAGAAATTGGAAAGAGACAAGGTGATTGATCGCTCGACGTATCTCAAGTTATACCCAAAAGGACAACAACCGCCAGCCTTCTATGGACTTCCAAAAATACATAAAAATAACATCCCTCTTCGGCCAATTGTTTCCAGCATAGGATCGGTGACTTATCAACTTGCACGGTTCTTAGCCAACATCATTGGTCCTCTGGTTGGTAAATCAGAACATCATGTAAAAAACAGTGAAGACTTTGTCAACAAAATCAAGGATATTTGTGTTGAAAATGATGAGATTATCACATCCTACGATGTATGTTCACTGTTTACCTGCATACCCCCTAAAGGAGCTGTTGAAGTGGTAAGAGAATTCCTTGAAGCTGATGACACCCTGAAAGAGAGATCTAAATTGTCAGTCAACCAGATCTGTCAACTCTTGGAACTTTGCCTTGAATGTACATATTTTACTTATGATGGCAAGTTTTACAAGCAAGTACAAGGTTGCGCTATGGGTTCTCCCGTATCTCCTATCGTGGCCAATCTCTACATGGAGAAGTTCGAACTTAAAGCTATCAATAGCTTTCCTGGTACCCCTCCTGCCAACTGGTTTAGATACGTGGATGACACATGGTGTCGGCTCAAGAAGGGATTGGCGGACAGTTTTTTCGAACACATTAACAAGGTTGACAAACATATCAGCTTTACTCAGGAGACCAGTCAAGATAACACACTACCTTTCTTGGATGCCAAACTACATGTAGAGACAGACGGTCACATTGAGGTGGAGGTTTATCGTAAACCTACTCACACCGATCAATATCTCATCTTTGATTCTCACCATCCCTTGGAACAGAAACTTGGTGTGATAAGAACCTTGTTTCATCGAGCAGACACCTTGATTACTTCGGCTGAAGCCAGAGCCAAGGAACATACTCACCTCAAGAAAGCTCTATCCAAGTGTGGATATCAACAATGGACTTTTAACAAAGCACTTAAGCCTTCCGACTCATCTAAGAAGACGTCAAGAAACTCACAGTTAGACAGGACTAAAACAGTCAACATTTCCATCCCATACATCCAAGGAGTTTCGGAGAAGATAAGACGTATCTTACACAACTACAACATCGCCACCAACTTCAAACCATGTCGCACTCTCAGACAGATGTTGTTTCATCCAAAGGACAAACTTAAAAACTGTGTGAAATCGGATGTCATTTACAGACTAAAATGTGAAGATCATCAATGCAAAGAAACGTACATCGGGGAGACCAGTCAGCCGCTCAAGGAAAGATATAAGCAACACTGCAGGGCCAGTAACGGTGGATTTTCTTCGGCCATATGGCACCATCTGGACAAACATAAAGGACATTCTTTTCATCTTGAATCAACGGACATCTTGGACCGGGAGGCGCGCTGGTTTGAGCGTGGAGTCAAGGAGGCGATTTATGAAAGACTTTATAAACCATCACTCAACAGGAAGGGAGGACTTAGAGTTGAACTTTCAAGTACATGGGATTCTACTTTACAGCATATCTAGGGACTCACTTATCTTTATCATTACATTAGTTAATACTTTACCATGTGTATTGTATATAGAATCTATAGAACGCTTGTTGCTAACTTATTATTTGTTTATTTAGAACATAAATACTTTTAGAATTAACGGTGCCGTTCCGAGTTCTACCGCAATTTTGAATATTTCACTGATGAAAGATGCCGGACGGCGTCTGAAACGTCTGACATTATTTTCTTATTTTATCCAGAAGTAAAGATTCAAACTTTTCTTATTAGTATTATCCTGGATGATTAATCTTCACAAAAGTTAACGTTATGATTTGATCAGGGGGATCAAGGAGTTTTGATTTAAATCAGGCTGTAACTTACTAACTATTTAAAAGATCATTAAACTTTCGTAGCACCAGATTAGGCCAGATCAAAAATCAGATTATTGCAAAAAAAAGTATGGATGGGGAGGGAATATTTTATTATTGGTGCGGTCTAAAATACGTTCTGCTAGATTTTATATTAATTTCCAACCAAAAGTTCAGGTTCCCTGTGGCAAAGCATGACGGGAAGGCTAGTCTGAAACGTGTCACTCCCGGGCACGAGATTCGACGTCTCGGACGTCGTTTATCAAAAATTACAGGTGTTTTCGTCAGATTTATGACAGTTTGAGGTTGAGAATATCGACTAAAGTAGTTTTCTTGACTTCCCCGGGCTGGTAGACCGAGATTTTGTGTCAGAAATGCCTCAGGTTGTCATGTTGCTCCTACACTTGGAGGGAGTTTCGTTCATCCAGTGGCTGCAGACGACATTTTCTGATTTTGCGGACGTCTTGTTGTTCCTGACCCGGATGGGAGACCCCAGACACGCGTTCCTCGTGTACTTCCCCTTGGCGCTGGTGTTCAGCAGGAGTGTCGGGCTGAGAGCGCTCCTAGTCGCCATTATTTCTGAGTGGACCAACCTCATCCTGAAATGGTACGTGCCCCCCTCCCCCTTTGAACTTTGGATGACCCCGCCCCCTTCCATGGAGTGAGCATGATGTAAGAAAGACTAGAGTCTCCGATGAGTGACTTTTCCTCTCATTCCCTTGCCCTTTTCCGCAGAGCGTAATCAGCCGTTTTATTTCTACATATAGTGTAGACGGACCGCTCTAATGCAACATATAACGTTAGTGTAATTAATGCATGTTTTGCGTAGAGCGTATTCACCGTTTTAATTCTACGTAATGCGTTGTATCCACTTGGAATTTATCGTAAAGCGTAATCGAGAGGTTTCCTGAATTCAGCGTAATACGTAGCTCGCAAAATTTAGCATAGAGCGTTGTCGGGAACCCCCCATGCAGGCCCCCCTTTAGTAGTAGGCTTCACATCAAAATGTGTAGAGAAGTGTACATGTAATTTGGGGGTAAACAGTATATAAGTAATATACTAACTAGTAACATTACAGTTAGGGTTAAGTTTGATAAATGATTATGATAATGTGACAAAAGTAAGTGGGTCATTGTGAGTTTGTATTATCATTTCAGGGCATTGTAGTATTGTTTTTGGGTGGCTGAGTTGTGTGTTTGTGTGTCTGCTTGTCAGAGTAGGTTGACATTGTGTTGGTTGGTAGAAATTTGACAGAATGACAGGTCAAAAGGTCAGACACAGGAAATGGCAATGGTCCAGAGCCAGCAGGAATTCAGGAAGCAGAGGATTGCATGAGGGACCTTCCGATGCTGCCGAAGACGGAAATGTCTGATAACATATTTTCTTTTGAACAGAAAGATGAAAGTTTGATAAATAATGTTTGTTTCTTTTTAGGATGCTACACGGAGAGCGCCCTTTTTGGTGGATTAAGGATCCTGAGATATTTGAAGAAGGAAAAGCACCACATCTGGAGCAGTATTCCCTGACCTGTGAGACTGGACCAGGTATTTCTTACCCTCCAAGCAGAGGTTTGGGTTTGGGGTTATTTTTGGCGTGTTTTTAGGCTTTTTTTATCTGAGTTTCTCTTTTGCACTGAATTTTTTCCCACCAAAAAAATAAAAGAGA